GTTACATGTTATTTATGTAGTTTATCGTAAAAATTCGGTCACAGTCCCTATGATCACTGTTACGTTGCAATTATGGCTTTATTTTTTGGTGATTTCGAAAACGTTTTTTTGGTTTGGACATGTTTGTTTTGTTGTAGTAAGGAGTTAGACTGATGGCCTTAATCTACGTTTTCTTGTGGTTGTTGTTGTTGTTTGACTTGCATCCCACTGGGATTTTTTGCACACAGCGTTGGTGTACGGTGCTTTTTCAGGAATGTTTTGCTGTTTTTTCATGGAGTTTCTGTTTGCACAGTCACCACATAGTCACTTTAAGATGTTTTCTTGTTCGTGTTTTTTTGTTTGTTGTGGTTGCACCCGATTCAAGAGCCGAATGGCTCACAGGGCTATACCAAAATAAAGAAACTGAAAACTGAACCGTTCCCTTCATTAAAGCACAATGACCATGGGATTAGGTATTTTAATCCATTCCCCAAAACACAGCATGCTAAAAGCACAGTTCGTAGTCCCCAATGGCTTGGGATCAACCACTGATAAGGTTGAAAAATCTAAAAAGACGGGAGTTGCACGCAAAGTGGTGCAGTAGATAGTTCTGTTGATTAAAACGTTCTCACTGACGGAACTGAGCCTACATAGCCTCTTGTCACGGCAGCCCCTTTTGCCCACTTCAGCAATTGTTTCTTCTTACAGACGCTTGCGTTTTGCCCGAAACGTCACGTGATTTAATTCATTCTATTTTCTACCTACGTGACTTTACCGAAAGAACCAAAGAGTTATGGGGATCCCTGCAGTCACGAAAACTTCAAATCTAGATTGGAACCGAGCCCAATGGGCAAAATGGGTGCAACGCATTCAGGTGGGCAACATTACAAGAAGGTACCTCAACGCCAACAGTGGCACAAGCACATGGAGCGTCTTCCGAGTTCGGAGTAGCTCGGGCACGGCCACCATGAGACCACACTATTCTCGGGTGAAGTTGAGCGCCCCTGGCGTGTGCCAAGTCTGCCTGACTCGGCACCATCTATAGGAAGGGAGGCTGCAGGTGAAGTAACCTCAATGGCAATGATGAATGAAGGCGTTAGAAGAAAAAAAAAAGATCTACATCATTAGACCTCCTTTGCCAGTACCAAAATGTAATAATAGGGTTTTTCCCCTTTTTACTGGCAACAAAACTGAACCCTTTTTTTCAAGGAATCATGTCTGCATTAACCACAATACCTGCAGTCACAATGTAAACAAAAAACACACTATGATAATATGATGCATTGTCCTTGAAACTGATTGGTCCACACCAAGGGACGGCTTTCTTTTTAGCCTCGATCCAATTGGTGCTCGACCAGATGACGCCAAAAGGCTGCAGGTATTGTGGTTAATGCAGACATGAATCCTCGTAAAAAGGGTGCAGTTTTGTTGCCAGAAAAAAAGGGGAAAACCCCTATTATTATTTTAAAAAAAGATGTTATCTCAAAGACTCGCTGGTGAATCGGGAGTTAAGCGATCAGCTTCCATGTAGATTGTGCAGCATCAAACGTACTTCGGACGTTGGCAATAACTCTGGCGTATTCGACTGCAGAGTACTGCGCTTCGAAAGCTCAGTCTTTCTTCCGATTCCGTTCCGATGATGTACACAAAAGGGTTAATCGTGTAGATTTAAAGCACTCCACGTACACGTATATCATCAGAACAAGATCAGAAGAAAAACCGATACAATTACTTTATCGGTACCGAGGCTCCCGCACGGCCATGTGGGAGCTATTACAGAGGACAGTCGTGTCGGGTACAGTTCTCTGTGGTGAGTGAAATTTCTTTAAAAACCGTGGCGCTATGCCCCTCTAAATACAGGGTACGCTTGAACCGCTTGCACGTTGTGAGATTCAGCGTTGAACAGGACAGTCGCCCTGCGACTTGCAGTCTTCTCGGACGGGAGAGGGTTAACAGCCTTGCCACCCTGCTCAGGATTTGCACCACACCGGCCCTGTTTTAACCAATCTGCTTGAGGAATGTAGTATGCAAGGTAGAATGCATTCAAGTAGCATTGCACCTTAACAAAAGAAAACCGTGATGTCGTTTAATACTCCAAGAATTGGGCCCATCATCGTTATACATAACTACTTATACATAAAAGTAAAAAAAGTGAGCACAAAGGTGAACATATAATTTAGGGCCAAGAAATTCAATGGAGGCTCAACAATAAATTTGTAATTTACTCACTTAGATGCACTTCAGTAGCAGAATTCTTTACAATCATAACACAATACTATTCTGTAATCTCATGCCAAGATTCACATACAGTTTTCACACTAAATGTGAAAAGCAATTTTCCTATAATTTGCTATGGAACTGTAACCAGTGGAATTTGGGCAAAACGTTTAAAGAAATAATAAAACTTGGAATGTTTGGTATCTAGGCCTATGTGCCCAGTGCAGATATAAAAAAAAAACATTTCGAAGGAACGTCAAATAAAAATAACCAGAGTAGCATTTGTCAAAGCAAAACTCCGACAAGGAAAAATGCCAATCTACACATACGTACAACTTTACTCAACCATTACGAAATATAAGTACGTGAGAGCGCATTTCAATAAGGTTGCCTGTCATGACAAAGACAAATACATGAAAATAGCCAGTATGGAACCGACTATTTTCAAATTAGTGTTAAAGAGAAACCTTAAATCGGGCCACCATTACAAGTACTATTTACCCAGGGGAAGCCACACTAAGGGTCCAATGACTCTTTTTCATGAGGGCACCATGCATTGTATGTATTTATATTAAGCTATTTTCAGCTGTGTAATGAATGTTTTACGCACGTGGGCTGCAACCGCAGCATCCAGAGAAAGCCATCCTTGCGTGGTACACTCAATGCCATACGGACGCGACAGACGATATTAGTCCACACTGGCTCTACCCCTTTTAAACTAAACAAAACTTTTTTTTTAACAGGTTAAGGGCCCAGTGAGCCCTAGAGCTCTTTTTTTTTAGAAGCGACCTGACCACAAAATGATAGCTCAATGAAGCGGGTTTTTCACGTGGAAATGTATAGCAGTCGAATGCCATCAAACGCACGTCGATTCTAAATGCGGAGGGGGGAGGGGGGGGGGGAACCAAAGCACCCAGGGAAATCTCCACGCGACCACAGGGACAGAGACACGCAAACTCCAAATATACAGCAGGCATCGCCAGGGTTGGGATCGAACCCACGACCTCCCGTATACCGGGCGACGTAGTAAACATTTATGCCACCGTGGCGCCAGTCAGGATGATAGCAACCCGGCGCCCTACGGGGGGGGGGACGGGAGTCGCAAAACATTTGTGCCATCCACCAACGGTCCCTGCCTCCACGGTGCCGGACTGCCGGCGTGGAACACCACTGCCTGGCAAAGATTCCCTTGTAGTTGTGAAGCATTACTCTCGTCAGGGGGACACTTGTATGTAAAGGATTTCCCTTTTTTCCTGTCTGGTTTCTTCATAACAATTACAAGTCTCATACTCAGAATGCAAGAACAATTATGGTAATACTTGATTTTTGAAAGGATAACGGCATTTTTTGGTGTTACGTTTTATAACAGTTCTTGCAAATATAAAATGTTTACATATTTATTGTACTTCTACGAATGATTAATTATTAATTACATATCCCTTTCACTATTCCCAGGTATAAGTGTAACCTTTTAACGTCTCCATTAAAAAAAAACGCGAGTGCCAATGTTACACTGGTTTAAATACATTTTGATTTAAAGCTTTCGTGACTGCAGGGATTCATGTTCTTGGTTCTTTCGGTAAAGTCACGTAGAAGGGAAGCAATAAAATAATAAAAATATAAAACAATACAATTCTCACGACGTTTCGACTGCAACACAAGCAATCATCATCAGGTGTAATTTTCAAACTTTACAAGCTTCGCTTTCTTACCCCCCCCCCCCCGCCCCCCCTGGTGGATCACCACTTCACAACGCCCACTCGAATACGGCAATACATCTTCGGCGCGCAATCCGGAACAGGGTCGCGCGCGTTACGTGCGCGGCAGCCCCCACAGATAGTTACTACAGCAAGAAATAACAGTTCATCATCATCGTCATCATCATCGTCAACACTGTAAAGAGTGCATCGTTACGTACACAATTTCAACAATACCAAGTATCGTTGAATGTGAGATTATCATGTGTCAATCAAAGCAAACACAAAGGAGTACACATGGCATGCTATGAACGCATAATTTTACAATGGTCACATGGATGCTACATCTTCTATACTTTTGTATAATCCCAAGCATCCCAATACTGCAATATGTTATTTTACCAAACTTTGCGTTGAAGTAACGATAAGGAATCATATCCATCTTTAGCACCGCACTCTACACAAGGTGAATGAGAAAAGATCCTATGTCAATCGCATGCTAGTATCCATTTATGTTCCGCACAGAAGATAATACAATGCTATCATATTCCTGCCAAATGAACACATGTATTCTTTTGGTAAAAAAAATTACATTTTCAAAAACTATCTACAATACGCTTATAAAAAAAACGCATTCACTTGCAATTTGTATTCATGTGCAGAAATGCTACTTTAAAGTCGAATTATTATAGCCATGTATGCTATATACAGAAAACAACTGAAGTGGCTCGAAAGTGCAGTCTTTTGTTAGTTCACGTGAAGTTGATATTTAAATAATTCTGCAACCAAATCATCATCTGCTGGAAATTACGACAAAATTGAAACACCTGCTGCAAAGTGGACATTGTTGACGATGTTACACTGGCAGAAGCAGCCCATTACGTGCAGGTGTCAAAGCTAAAATCTGAAAATTACGTACAATTAAATCGGGTAACATGAATGTCTCACCATAAATTTCATTAGCCAGGTGCCCTCTATACAATGTGATAATGAGCATCAATTAACTCGGAGCTAATTAAAGGAAATTAGTAAAGTAAAATAAAACTTACTCGTCATTATATATGCTGTACTAGGCACCAAATTATTTTCTGTCAATAAAAAAAAATGTATGTTCGGGAAGAGTAATGCATTATTACTTTTAAACATTTACACATAAGCCGCAGACGTTAAGAAAATGAACAACATCTCGGGATAAACAAATCAGACGGATATCCTCACAAAAAGAGCCGGTAAACAAAGAATACCGCTGTAAATGAAAAAAATATATATACGGCGCAAAAAATAATAATCACAAACCGTGCAAAGTAAAAGACAAGTGAATAAGGCAAAAAAAAAGTGAGGAGGGGAAGAAAAAAAATTCTAACTACAATAACACGGTCTTGATTTCCATTTTCTTTGTTTGGTAGAATGTTCCCTGCCGTCATCCCACACAAGAAACCCCACAGGCCCGCTAGTTACCGACGCCGTGCTCCAGCCACTCCTACAGCTCCCGTTACAATGACCCCCGATACAGCAACGCACAATGCCACTAAAAGGATTCTGGAATCCTGGAGCGAGGCGGTCTCTTGGGGATTCAGGCAGCTCACTTTCTCTTTCCATCATTTCTATCCAAGCTGGATAGCCCTGCTTTAAAAAAAAAATACAGCTTGGCCAAGCCAATTCATTAAAAGGGTCCTCTGCATTATTCACATTAATGGTTGTTGCGCTTAGCGTTGTGTGTGTGTGTGTGTGCGCGCACAAGCGCACGCAAGTGCACGACGCACATCTTAGGGTTTGCACTGGAGTAAACATAAGGCACACGGATAGTGCACGCACGCGATACTCGCACAATTCACATTCTGCAGAATTAAGAATTTAAACAATAGGCCCCTCCCGATTTTTTTTGACGGGAAAAAAGAAAACAAACACATTTCGTTCCGATTCATTGGATTCTAGCTCCAGGTCCGATCTTCTGCAGACTCTGGATACGGAGTGTTGAATAGCACTGCGACTGGTTTATCCATTGTATTCAATGTTTTCTGCACCCATAAAACCATACACACAGAGGAGTTGTTTATAAAAAGTATACCCTTTTCGATAGTTCTATTCGAAAAGAGACTCCGACCATGCTTCCTAAACCGCCCCCATCCGCAAACGACTCAAGAGATTGGTCCAATGCTTCCTTTTCCATATGACAAACCGTCTTAAATCACTGACAATTAAAATGTATACATGAGGTCTACAGAAGTACTTGCATTACCATTTAGAAAACTTCTGAATGCTTCACCATTCATGCTAGGCTGTGCTTATTCAAAAACCAGCACGTACCATAAGCATAACATCGACTGCACAGCTACAAGTGCTGAAGATGCAAACATTATCACAATGCAGCTAAGCTCTCAGCTCTCCCCAGGCCTCCTTCCCCAACTGAGCTCACATAACAGTTTTGCAGTTATAGCTCCACTGCCGCTTGCCAAACTTTCCATTGCAAAATGCCTTTCGTCAGCCATTATTTTCGGTCACTTGGGATGTCTGGTGATGACTCATTCATTACCGTAATTTTTAACAAAAATGTTTACGCTATTGGCAAGAATTAAAGTTCTACTTTGGGAGCACATGAAACTACCTTCACTTAGAAAAAAAGCGATTTAAAGAAATGTATTTTAAGGCATTTAAGCCCTTAAAATATGCTGCAAAATACTTTTCAAAATCATAACTTTTAAGCAATCGCCTTTTTTGCGTGTGCGCGTTTCTAAATTTCCAAACTTGTAACGTAAAACAGAAGGATGTCAAAAGAGCTGACAATGCACAGAATCGCACCGCATACTTTACCTTGCAAAAAATATTTTCACAGCCTCAATGTACATTGAATTAATTGAAGTTCTCGGATGTGCTCGTTCACAACCACTACGGCAGTATGGCGGCGAATGTCCGTTTTTCGATTAAATTGTCAGCGCTGACGGACTTTCGCAGAGAAGCCTTCGATAAATCTCTGTATTTGTCTTCACAGAGACGGGAGATGGCCTGGAAAATGATGTTTTTTTCTCGAGTTAACGTCAACAGATCTAAAACATTTATAATGAACTATCATCCTTTTTTCGTCAAGTTTATATCTGCATAAAAAACGCCTCGTTTAAAATAGATTAATGCTGAAGTCATTCTTTACGATAACAATGCCAGACATCAATACCAGACAAGACGTTACAATAACACGGGTTTAAATGTGAGCAAGGCAGCCAAATAAACCTACACACTTCTCCTGCATAATTCGATCTTTATTTGGATCTCTTAAGCCTCAGACACCACTAATGGCACTTAATCATCTTAAGTTAATCAAGACAATAGCTGCATATGGAAATTGCATACCCATAACATCTGGGATGATAATGAGCTCGTGAGCCAAGTCCAAAGCTTAAATGGTGCAAGACAAAACAGGAATGTGTGCAGCCTGGCTTCACCTAGAACGAAGCAGCAGGTGCATGCACATGCCTGAATTAATTTCACCCAGTTTCCTTAAAGCCCAGGGACGTTATTTTTGTAAAATTACGATTTTAAAACGTTATCAATTCTAAGCTTTGGCAGTTCTAAAAAGAAAGCACATGCTCATATTATCCAAGGTTATATCAGAAGGCCCGTAAGGTTGCAGAGAGTCCATGATGGTACACACTTTGTATATAAGGATTTGCATTTACAGGGCGTTTAAATGCCTCAGCTACTCAAAGCACTTGCTTGGCATCACGTGATCTTAACCATTTAATGGCCTGCAGCAGGTCTGGCCTAGGCAGCTGCCTCTGTAAGCACAAAGTTCACACAGCATCAGCCTTCAACTGGGCATTTGTGTGTCAGTAGGGGGGGAGGCAATATTGCTACGTGATTTTTCCAATTAAATAATTCTGCTCTAAGTTTTACAATATATACAGTAAAACCTTGGATTGCGAGCATAATTCGTTCCGGAAACGTGTTTGTGGTAATCCAAAGCACTCGTATATCAAAGCACTCGTATATCAGTTGTGATCACGTGACGCTCGGCAGTACAAAGCGTCTACACATGCCACTCGTATTGCAAGACCCTCGCTCGTTTATCAAATTTATATTTATTAAAAAAAATTTGCTCGTCTTGCAAAACACTCGCAGACCAAGTTACCCGCAATCCAAGGTTTTACTGTATATACATGTCCAAGACAAAATAACAGTAATTATCACCCTGTAAGGAAACTAAATGTGTTTAATACGTTTGGCTGTGTCGTAACACGCGCGAGAGAATGCACGCATCCTCACCTCCAGTCTCTGGGCCCTTTCCTTGCAGAGGGGCTCCAGAGGGAAGCTCAAATTGTTGCAGTCGGCCAGCGAACGGAGGTCAAAGTAATACTTGGCATAAACACTTGCTGGGACGTTGATGTTAAACTGCAGCAGCTCTAGAAACTGCCTCTCCAGTTCATTCCTGTGGGGGGGGGGGAGGAAAAAAGATATGACCCCCATGAGCACAAATCATCACGCAGCAACCCAAGTATTTGTTTGACGGGCACAACGCCAACCCGGTAAGGGGCCCTCCGATCTGGAGGCATCTACGTTGAGGCGCCCCTCGCTCTGCGAAAGGTGGAACAAAATAAATGATTCAACTTGAGCAACTGTTACGTTGTCAATACACGAAAGGACATGGTCAAACTTATGGTTTTCTCTTAAGCATCTTATTATTGTGTATATGCAATAAGCTTATTATACATCCAATCTAATGGTTATAACAGGCAATGAGTCTGCTTATGTGTAAATTAACCAAGTTTGGTAGCAATTCAGATAATTAAAATGAAAAGACTATTCTCAGTCTTTTCATTTTAACCTGATGAAGGCCACATGTGTTGTGGCCGAAACGTCGTGAATTTTTGCTATTTATTTATTTATTTGCGTGACTTTACCGAATAGAACCAAAGAGTACTATTCTCAGAAGCAGAACCTTAATTTAGACTAAAGTATTCCGATGAGCTATGAAACTCTTTCACAGATGTCCAGTATTCTAAGTAGGGGATGATGCTGCATGGGGAGGAGACGTTAACATTGCACGTAATAATGACATCATTGGCAAGGGACAGGAGGCGCATGTGTGTATGTACAGTGAGGGAAAAAAGTATTTGATCCCCTGCTGATTTTGTACGTTTGCCCACTGACAAAGAAATGATCAGTCTACAATTTTAATGGTAGGTTTATTTGAACAGTGAGAGACAGAATAACAACAAGAAAATCCAGGAAAACGCATGTCAAAAATGTTATAAATTGATTTGCATTTGAATGAGGGAAATAAGTATTTGACCCCCTCTCAATCAGAAAGATTTCTGGCTCCCAGGTGTCTTTTATACAGGTAACGAGCTGAGCTTAAGAGCACACTCTTAAAGGGAGTGCTCCTAATCTCAGCTTGTTACATGTATAAAAGACACCTGTCCACAGAAGCAATCAATCAGATTCCAAACTCTCCACCATGGCCAAGACCAAAGAGCTCTCCAAGGATGTCAAGGACAAGGTTGTAACCTACACAAGGCTGGAATGGGCTACAAGACCATAGCCAAGCAGCTTGGTGAGAAGGTGACAACAGTTGGTGCGATTATTCGCAAATGGAAGAAACACGAAAGAACTGTCAATCTCCCTCGGCCTGGGGCTCCATGCAAGATCTCACCTCGTGGAGTTGCAATGATCACGAGAACGGTGAGGAATCAGCCCAGAACTACACGGGAGGATCTTGTCAATGATCTCAAAGCAGCTGGGACCATAGTCACCAAGCCAACAATTGGTAACACACTACGCCGTGAAGGACTGAAATCCTGCAGCGCCCGCAAGGTCCCCCTGCTCAAGAAAGCACATATACATGCCCGTTTGAAGTTTGCCAATGAACATCTGAATGATTCAGAGGACAACTGGGTGAAAGTGTTGTGGTCAGATGAGACCAAAATTGGGCTCTTTGGCATCAACTCAACTCGCCGTGTTTGGAGGAGGAGGAATGCTGCCTATGACCCCAAGAACACCATCCCCACCGTCAAACATGGAGGTGGAAATATTATGCTTTGGGGGTGTTTTTCTGCTAAGGGGACAGGACAACTTCACCGCATCAAAGGGACAATGGACGGGGCCATGTACCGTCAAGTCTTGGGTGAGAACCTCCTTCCCTCAGCTAGGGCATTGAAAATGGGTCGTGGATGGGTATTCCAGCATGACAATGACCCAAAACACTCGGCCAAGGCAACAAAGGAGTGGCTCAAGAAGAAGCACATTAAGGTCCTGGAGTGGCCTAGCCAGTCTCCAGACCTTAATCCCATATAAAATCTGTGGAGGGAGCTGAAGGTTCGAGTTGCCAAACGTCAGCCTCAAAACCTTAATGACTTGGAGAAGATCTGCAAAGAGGAGTGGGACAAAATCCCTCCTGAGATGTGTGCAAACCTGGTGGCCAACTACAAGAAACGTCTGACCTCTGTGATTGCCAACAAGGGTTTTGCCACCAAGTACTAAGTCATGTTTTGCAGAGGGGTCAAATACTTATTTCCCTCATTAAAATGCAAATCAATTTATAACATTTGTTAAATGCGTTTTTCTGGATTTTGTTGTTGTTATTCTGTCTCTCACTGTTCAAATAAACCTACCATTAAAATTATAGACTGATCATTTCTTTGTCAGTGGGCAAACATACAAAATCAGCAGGGGATCAAATACTTTTTTCCCTCACTGTATGTTGCTGAACTTATTTTGTGCAATACATATCCAACCGCGCGAAGCAGAGGTCCGGGGAAAGGACAACAAACTAAACACAAAAATTAGTTCCAAATGAATGAGTTTTCAATCTAGATTTGAAAGTGCATAGCTCCAGGAAGCACGAACTAACACATTAGTCAGTAACTCCGCCATGAAAGAAAAAACATATATTTAAAAGGTGACGCTTTGGCTGACGGCCCAACTTCATAGCACATATATCGTAGGTGGAATAATACTGCATCTCTAATGATGTTTAAAACAATTCTGAATTGTACATTTTGCAACGTGCAACTGGATTTGTTACTTGGTCACTATGAAAGTGCCTTTGGACTATTCCATACATAGCGTAACTGTATCTTATTAAAACTGATGTAGAGTTTTGTGATGTTATTCCACTGTTTATATGCATCCTCTATTGATTTGTGTTGCAGGTCTCCCTTAAATTGTTTATATATATATAAAAAAAAAAATCTTAAGATAACACTTTACACATCTATATTCTTGATTCTTTCGGTAAAGTCACATACCTTTACCGAAAGAACCAAGAATATGAATCCCTGCAGTCACGAAAGCTTTAAATCAAAACTTTACACATCCGTTATAAAAAATGTAAATATACCTTTTGATTAAAGCACCATTTCCTCTACTCCAACAAATATCACTTGTATAATATTCAGTGTCAATACAATGTTATGTACTTTACGTTTGCATGAAAACTTGGCCACTGAGAGATCTATAAGGAAGCAAAGGGGACGATGAACGAAACAATTTTTTTATATTTTACCAGGTAAGGCCCACTGAGCTAAGTAGCTCTTTTTCAGAAGCGACCTGGCCACAAATGACAGCTCAACAAAGTGGCGTATCACGTGGAAATGCATAGCAGCCAAATGCTCTAAACACATGTTCCTAAATGTGGAGGTAAAAACCGGAGGACCCGGAGAAAAAGCCATGCGACCGCGGGGAGAACATGCAAACTCCAAATATACAGGCGTCAGGGTCGGGATCGAACCCACGTCCTCCTGTATACCAGGCGAGGTAGTTAACATCTCCTAGCCACCGTGGCGCCCACAATGCACGAGGGCACAGCAAAAATAGATAGCTGCGGAGGCACGCACACGTCATCGACAGCGATGTCCTTGAGGATCTGGCAGTAGTCGACATTCCACACAGCTTGGTCATCCCACACCTTGGAGGACAGCAGGATGGCTCCCAACAGTATCCGCTTCCAGTTGCTGGGGCAGATGTCGATCTCGCCGTAAGTCATCAGCCTTTCAAGGTACACCTGCAGGGCATGTCCACAGAAAGCAAAAGTTTCAATTTAGAAAGCTTGGTATCAGTTTCCTTTCACCGAAAATCCACAGGAGGTAAGAGCACAGTCCTGTTCACAGGCATTTCCGTAAAGAAGTCCTCGTCTGCCAGACGGCACGAGTGGAGTGATGCATAATACGATGATGTAAAGGAACAAGTTTATGACAATTAACAAATGATATGATTAATTTGACAAATGGCAACTTGTAGGTTGGTCTAGGCATGCCTTCTTACCAGAGTGATAATGGCACATTCAGCTGTGAGTTGGGCTGCGCTGAAAAGGTTCCTCAGGAAGCGGTAGATGTGCCTGTGCTCCGGGTCGTTAGCACTGTAGTCCACTGGCACTTCCACTTTCTGGAACGAGGAGGAGTGTGCACGTTAGGTTCTCTTCCATGTTTTTAAATTACAGCTCAACGCGTGCCCCGGCACAAAATGCCGATCGCAGCACGGATGGTGGGGGTTGGGACAGCAACTCCCGCGAACGGCAGCACGATTTCGGCATGACAGGTGCCCAACGAAGGTGGGGGGGAATTGTGCTCGCCGCCCCACCCAGGTCGGGGACCACGTGCAGGAGGCTTGAAGGCTTACATGGGGAGGGGGAAAAGGGGGTAAGGGAGTAAGCTAACTAACATATTGGGGGAAGCAAAGGCACAGCGGGAGGGGGGGGGGGGGGAAGGGCACATTAGGTTCTTTGTCGTCAACATAATTATTATAATAATAATGCAATTCATAACGCGCGCAAATTTGCGGAAGTAACGGCCGCAACTCAGAGGCGCGGAGCCAGGCTCAGAGTCGTCAGTTCACGTAACTTGTACAGCCAAGAGAAGCATTGCTTACATTAGCAAGTACGCATGTTACACGCATCCAATCCTGTCTAAAATCCATGATTGTTATGGAATAAATACATTTCCTCTGGCTTTGCAGTGCACCATCACTGACAGGAAAGCACACAATTACTACCCAGTCATGTAGATATATATATTTACGTAGGCTGACCTCATTTAACTACACTCATGCCATGCAAAATCTCAAGGATAACTACGAAAGCTGCGAGGATGAGTGTGTTTGCATATAGATCATCCCAAAGGACCGATCCCCTGAAAATGGATGGAATTCCAGTGGTGAAATAAACCTTCTTCAAGCTATGCTTCTGCACATTCCTCAATAAAATGTGCACAAGGAGCTAACATACTCGCATTTCACATGTTATAGGTTAATTAACTTCTTGTTAACAAGCCAACATTGGTCCTAATGCCTGAGTATATTTTTGCCCGCCAACTCCTAGACAAAAACCTCGTCACAACAAGTCAGTTATGGCAGTTGCTTGACCATACTTCACCACGGTGGTCAGAGCGGGTTGGTGATAGGGGCGGCTCGGACTTTTTTCAGACAGCATTCACCACTGATATTAACTGTGGACGGGATTCAAACTTAGGCCGCAGGACTCGTGTGTGTGTGTGTGTGAAGAGCAGTGTGCAAAACACCGCAGCACCGCTTACTTCGTAATCGCCTGTGAAGTGCAGTACCCAGCGCATCTGGTGGAAGGCTCTAAAGTGTCTTGTAATGTAATGGGGTATAAATGCCAGCTCAAAAACACTGCAGCTACTTATTATAACTGGAGGTGATACACGGGATACACAAGGCAATAAGTGATTATTTTTTTTATAATTGTACAAACGCTCGTTGTGTGCTGGTTTACTGATCGTAAAACGAGTGTGTTTATTCAGGTAGAAATATTTTAAAAAAACGTTAGTCCATTGAGTGTATGGGGCTTCTTGGAGCAACGCTTTCCATCAACACTTAATTAAATCGGCAAAAGTCTGGACTGCATCCACACAACCCAGCAGGGCCTGTTCAACACAAAACACTACAACTGTGTCGCGTTTCGTGTCTATGTTTTGACGCAATTCATTACCTTTAAAAGCCTACAACAAGACAGTGGTCAATGCATTTCGAGCAACTTTCCTGTATTTAAAATCCAGTGGGGTCCCTGCCACCAGTGTGGCGATGATGCCACGGTGTCTAATTCAAAGGGTGACTTACCCTCAACTGTAACTACTTATTCTTGCGGTCACGAAAGCTTTAAATCGAAATATAACTACTGGGGTTTAACACCTTTCGTGTCATACTCTTCAACAAAGTACACAAAACACTGAATTTAGTGAACATATTATATACTATATAGATCGATCATATATTACAATCTCATTATACCCCTTTTTGAATGCCTAGGTTTAAACATAACAAAGTAGTCAATTTTATCTTTTCAGAATTTAGATCAGTTTTTTTTGCATTACGCACCCTGTAAAATCTCCATATACTTTATTGGTCAACTAATTCTAACTGTAAATATATCAAATTTAAGCTAATTTAGCCCTTCTAGAACATAATCATCATTTACACCATCCCAATCAGTCGCTTATTCACTTCCGACTGGCTACATACAGATAATTAAAATCTATTGAACAACAATGTAATTTAAAAAAATACAAGTGTTGGCTTCAACTTAACATAAGTATGAATCATAATTCAGTAAAGAGTAAAATTTACTCCATCTACTTTACTCACGGTTAAAGGATGACGTTTTTCATCAAATATATCAAGAGTTCGGATAGTAGTATCCCTGTGAATGAGAAACAATTACAATTAAAAAATATCGATACAAATACAATTTTATAATAAGGACATTTTATTGAAGACAAAATTATGCAACCGTTAGATAAAGTGAAAGGGTTCAAAAAAATGACCCCATCTGGGCATCGGTATTCTGCGGGATATCGATGCTACACAAGCACAACACCACGTGGGTGGCTTTTGTGTTGCCACAAAAGCTTCATGCTCATGCTTCCCCGTTTCAGGTGCATCACTGAAATATTTAATATTTGCCGTGCCCCTAAACATTGTTCAAATATAAAATGAATATCGATTTAAAGCTTTCGTGACTGCAAGGATTCATCTTCTTTGGTTCTTTCGGTAAAGTCACGTAGAATGAGAATAAAATAATAAATTGATAAAATAAAATAACAATAATATTCTCACGACGTTTCGGCCACAACACAAGCGGCCTTCATCAGGTGAAGGGACGAGACTGTCTACCAGACAGGTGAAGGGACGAGACTGTCTACCTGATGAAGGCCGCTTGTGTTGTGGCCGAAACGTCGTGAGAATATTATTGTGTTATTTTATTTTATCAATTTATTATTTTATTCTCATTCAACGTGACTTTACCGAAAGAACCAAAGAAGATAAAATGAATAGCTAATGTACAGCAACTATGGCTATGGTAATCAGGCACAACTTTTGGGACGGTAATATGGCCCCCTATCATTTGTAACATTTTCACGAATGGTTCAGGGACAAAAATGGAGATGACCACCACCCAATGAAAACTCGTTGACTTGAATTCTTCATACCAAAAAAACCCCTTCACTCCACTTGACTTCGTATTACATTGGTGTTCATTATGCAGGGTGGTACAATATGGGAAGATAATCATAATGCGATAAAACCCTAAGTGTTTTCTTACATTTTCAGTTACTTTTCGGTGCCACTTAGTAGCAGGAACGCTGAGATGGTAAGTGCTAAGCATATATATGAAACCACTAAACCATTTTTCAGTATAACACAATTCTCACAGCCATTCACCAATCCTTGTGAAAACGTACCAACGTTACACTGGCAGCTATAATGTACTGTATACATGCATCAATGTCTTAATATTAACTTTTAAAAAAATATCCACAACTAAATCATGCATACTATTAATCGATGGTTAAAGAGGTGTATCTCATAAAAAAAAAATGAATCTCAATGGTTGTATCACGTGGTTATTGTCCTGCGTTTTGAGAATAACAAAATATGCCTTGAATAAACAGCCGTATGTAAATCTGCTCTTACCTGTTTTTAATGTGGTAGTATATTGCAAGTGCCACGCTGCAATTAAAAGACAACATTATTTGAAAGTATTTTCTTACATGATTTAAATTTAAGTCAACATGCATAGAGGCACGAATAATTTTTGACATTTGAAGAACCCTACGGGAAATTACTTATAACAATAATTTAAGCAGCTTCGTATAATTTGGAGAGAATGTTATTTTATACAATAAAGTTATATACATTCAATTGCAAAATTATTTACGTTCATAATGAACTAGTCACACGATGCCAACAGACATACATGTCTGGTTTTAAATCGGGTCATAGCCAGTATATGTACACAGCCCACAGAATGAGTACATTAGAAGCTCACTGTGGGTGGGTAAGTTCAAATTACCTAAAAATTCAGGTTGAATTCCAATTACTTGTCCTAATTTCCTGCCGACTTCATTGTCTCAAGAATTACAGTGCAAAACATTCCATGATGTTTTAACTTGTACAAAGTGTGCACTCACTTTTTGGTTGTGTCATTTAAAATAGAAGCCAACAAAACCTTGTGAAGTCAGTGAACAACACCAATAGTATTTCTACATCATGGCACGAGATATTTCGCTGAACTGGCAGACAATCTTAAATGGTGACAAATATATGAATTACTTAACCGACGCAACGGTACATCATAAAAATAATTATCATTGAGTGTCCAAATCTTGTCATAACCACACAGGCAAAAATAAGATAGGGCGAGTCAATGCCCCTTAAAGAGTTTACATTTAAAGAACCTGGGATAAGGCAGCAAAAGTGTGCGAAGGCAGTATTGCTGAGGATGTTACAGGAAGGTGGTTAAGAGAGGTGCTGGAGGAAATGCATAAAATAAACAAAGACACATGAGCAGGGAAAGGTTGTCAAAGGACTCGGAAAATAACTCCAATATCGTACCATTATATAAGAATATAAAAGTGCGTGAGAGTTCTACACGGATGCGTTTAATAAGCATTCCAGGAAAAGATGCTCGTGAGAATTATTCTGTGGAGCATCTAAAATCACGTCAAACTGTGCTTAAAAAAACACGATTGAGGATTTGAGCAGGGAGGCCGTTATGTAGCAATGAAAGATTTTACTACCAGGCAAATAACAAGAGTAGAGCTGCAAAGTGAAGAGGATGTTTGGATTTGTTCTGCAGATTGTAAGCAAGCGTATTATTCTGTTTGGACAGAAGGTACAGGGGAACTTCTGGGTTATTATGGCATTCCCATAAAGAAAAGCTGTCTACTTAAAAAAATGTGTAAGGGATTTAAAATGTTACATCTGAGATGTGCACACCAAGAGAAACACAAGAGTGTGGCTGGACGATGAGGACCACTGTCTGGTAGGGGTGAATTTATCAACCACTTTGTTCAGCACTGCACTCGGAAGTTCTGAAAATAACGTGGCAAGACGTTTTATTGTCGGAATCAGGATTTTTTAAAAAAGGGTTGCAATGGGTGCAGCATATATGCAAGGGAGGAGGAAGGCCGGTAACACAACCAGACTACAGAGTAGACACCCGTAGTGCAGCATTTTACGGACCTAGAATAAGATGGTGGTGCATTACCGTAAGAGCCGACTCTTGCAGGATGATTGTGATATGTGGTGGCATTAACAGCTTTGGCACCGATGACCTCTTTACCGTCAGTGAAAGGGGCATGCAATACAATAAAACCCTCTCTATCCGCGAGGGTTATGTTCTTGAAAACACTCGCGAATGCAGAATTCGCGAATGCAGGAACCTTGTTCCAATGGGAAAAATGTATGTTACGTTCCAGCCACGAGTGAACATCGGGGGGGGGAGAGGTGGAATAGTAAATGTTTAAAACAAATAATAAATTATAAGGAACAATTTATTTTTTAATTATCTTTGATGATGATGATGACGATGGAGGTGGTGGTGATGGTGAGGAATTCGGGAGGATGACTCCTCAGCAGATGCAGGTGTTTGATAACATTGCTAGCCGCAACACTGTCCTCGGTTGCATTCGCGTTCTTTTCAACGGACCTCACAGTCGACTCGTTTATACCAAAATGTATAAACGAGTCGAAGGTAAGTACGTATAAAGTAAAAATGCACTACAGCGAGTTCAGAGCAGGGTAACTGCGAGACTGAGGACGACGCGGGCAGCAGAGGTGGCGTGGCCTAATCTTCGCAGACAGTTTCAAATGTAAAAGTCTGCACGCACCTCCCCCGGTGTCAGTGGCCTGGCACGACGTACACTCGCGATTACTGGAGTCTGGCGGGTCGCGAATAGGGAATTAGTGTGCATTTAGTAACTCACGAATAAGCGAAACTCGAGAAATCCAGAACTCGCGGATAGAGATGGTTTACAGCATTTTTAAACCTTGCAGAAGAGTTGTTTTTTGCATCCCCTGTTGCTTCTGTCAAAACGAGTCCTGGGACACTTGACAGAAACGCGTGTTTACCCAGGACACGGAGCCCTGCACCACAGCAACAAAGTGGCATGTATGCGCTGTGAGGAATTCTGTGTGCAAGTGCCAAGCCAACACATGTACAACAGCAACCATGGCAACAGCTGCTCAAAGGGGGAGTATTGCCTTTACTTTGATGAAATTTACATGGTGTCAGATGGCAAGGCTACTCATCAAATTGGCAGAAGAAAACAGGCACAGGCGGTGAAGTGGTTTGAGGGCCAGGAGAGATGGCAGGGTCATAATATACGGTGATACGGAATCACATTTTATTCACTCAATTTTATTTGCTTATGTTTATGGTGCCAATTTCATCAAAGCCTGATAGAGTAAAGTCACTCTATATTTATTTTCGCTGGATTGATGACCAAATCCAGTTTCATACACGTAGCCCACCGTTGTTGTGTATGTCAGAAAGATTGTATCGCTGAAAAAATATGCATTCACAAGTGTTGTTGCCTTCATAATTTTGAACCGCAATTCTGTAAACATCGCGGAAGGTGTGAACATTTAAGTGTGAGCCATGTTTGATTTCAGGTGCGTTTATATACACATGTAATGTAAACAAATATGAACCGTACCAAAATATAAGAGAAAGGCTTGAAGTAACATGGAACCAAATGACTTTCAATTATCTAACACGATTAATAATTACAAAATAAAACAGGATTTAGACAAGATACCTTCCTAGAGCTAACTATTTAAAACTATTTTCATTTTACCAGTTAAGACTCACTGAGCTATATAGCTTTTTTTCAGAAGCGACCTGGCCACAAATGATAACTCAACAAAAGTGGCTTATCATGTGGAAAAGTAGAAGCAGCCAAATACTCTTAAGGCACGTTTCTAAATGTGGAGGGAAAAACCAGAGGACAAGGAGAAAAATCCACGTGACAACGGGGAGAACATGCAAACTCCAAATATACAGGCGTCAGGGTCGTGGGTGAACCCACGACCTCCTGTATACCAGGCAAGATAGTTAACATCTCACCACCATGACGCCCAGAAGGAATGGGCATGGACTAAACTGGTGACATGTCAAGCAAAGGAAGGAATATGAATGGACAATGACCAATTGGAATTGGAAGAAATAACTTGCATAATGGTATCTGGAGGCTAATCAAATCGTAACCTAAAAGCAATCAGGACTCAGACTTGGGAATTCTAATAAAACTCCCACTTTTATAATATATAAAATGCCTTACATGGGTTATTTTATTAATAAAACAATTCAGCTATCTTTATCAATCTTTTTCAAGTATGCGATGCAGTTAACAATCATATCCTAAATTATAGAGTATTAGCCTGAGGCTTTAACATTGGTGTGCTGCAATGCAACAATTGGTTACGATGATGTGTTGCATTTTAATGCTTTATTCTTCAGAGCCTCAGGTCTCCCTTAAAATAAACACTTAGTTCCAATGAGCGCTCACCTACTTTCCAATAAAGATCATCTAAATCTCAACATGTTGGTGGTAATGTAGATCGTGAATGCGCGTGGTCTATAAAGAGAACTCTGTAAGGTGCATATTACGGTTACATTCTAAATTACAAACATGAACTCGAGCTGCACATTGCTTTTTTACTACCTCACAAAACGGCAGAGTACACCGTGGCCATTTATAACGCTGGCTCCGTGGACACGAGCAAAGTTCTGCCAGGGCTGATACTGCTGGTCACACGATCCCCAATACCACACACAACCAACGGTGTGGAGCGCCACGGCCCACCGACGGGGAGAAGCGGCGTGTCAGTGTGACCGCAGCCAGCTGACTGTTGCACAGAGACAAAGCACGGGATGCAGGGCGCCCGGGCAAGCAGATATTGACGAGAGCAGGTCTGAGAGGACTACAGAGGGCATTCTGACCTTATAAATGCGGAGTCTTAATACATTTGAGCCTTTACTCTTGTGCGACGTGATATTCTAGTTTAATAAAAGCTCAAGTAACCACGACTGTTATAATTTAACCTATTAAAAAAGGCATTACAGTAATCACATGTGAGAACCTTCAGAACTAACTCTGCAGGAAAAAAAACACCACAACTGAATGTACCAATTAAAATGTTTTTTTACATGTCTATTAAAACGTCACATTGTCTCCAAGTTATTTAGAAGAGGGACCTATGCTTGAATGAACAGCCAAATCTTAAATGAAACTGAAGTTCCCGGACAAAACCGATGCAAATGCAGGACAATACTAAAACTGTGCAGAGATTCATCAGCAACCCACTTGTTCTACTGCCAATCACTTAGAGCGGCGATGGGCAACCCAGACGAGTTGGTGGGTCACATGAGCTGCCCTCTTTCACCTCCGTGGGCCGCAAGCTTGACATCGTGGTTGTGCGCCGACCATGACCCCAGGCATCACCCTAGACCGGGGGGGGTCAAGCAACCTGCTGCTCCAGAGCCGCATGCGGCTATTTAATGACTGTTTTGTGACATTATTTATTGAGAACCACTGTCTCTCGTATTCACATGCATTGTGCATCTTGACATAACGAGTGCTTTTTTACTTAATAAAATAAAAGGCTCTTCTTGTCATTTTGGTTGCAGACCCCTGCTCGAGACACACTTAAGACCAGGCCACCACAAGAGACTCCGAGGGACGCATGCAGCCTGCAGGCCCGCAGGTTGCCCACCACTGCTGTAGAAGTTCTCCGAGTTGGGAATAACATGCAGATAATGAAATCTGAGTAATCCACCAACGACGCCACGCGTTTCTTGAAAACTAATAATCAAACAAAAAAGCATCTAATTTAAATTCAGCATGCAGTTGTGGGATGTTCATTTTCAAATGCTTAAAATGTTTACATATTGTCCACGTGTTACAAGGCACCACTGCAAATCAAATGAGAATGCGCGTGGATCTGATTTGACTACTGTTGTCGCGTAAGCTATCAGAATTCGACATGACACGTAGCCTCAACGTGCACCTAGCTTGGCACAAGCGCCACAACCCTGTACAAATCCCAGGCACCAGTGCAGGAACTGCATGTTGATATTTAGCACTCGGAACGACAACGTGATCAAGTTTAATTTCAAATTGCAAACAAGTCAAAAAAGTTTCACTGAACATCGTAATCCAAGTCAAGTGTTTTTGTGGGTTAGATCGCATAAATATATAAATGTGTCATTAAAACCCGCCACCACCCGACACAGCCAACTAGTAAGGGTTGTCACGTAAACAGAACGTGGCCAATTCGTCACTAGTACAGCACTAACCGGTGTGTTGGAGAGCCAAGCCACAACATTTACAATCTGAGTACGACATTACAACTAGCTTCATCAGGCGACAGCCAGATTTGTGGAGAAGTCTTAACTGTTTCGTTCCTTATATAGAGGCGTAGATGTGGTGACCTCACTTCTGCGCTCTTGCACAATGATGGGGGGGGGCGGGGTTACCGAGGCAACGAACATTATGCATGTGCATTATGCGAGCCCTTTGAACTTGTCCTTCCTGTCTATTGTGTTTATTAAAATAGCCCTACCAACGGTAATCCCTATTGAAGTACGCTGCCATGTGTAGGCATGCATTTAAATAATGTATTATTGATTATTCGCTTCCACACAGCACTAAGATGGTAGCTATCCGAACGGTTAAAGTTATTTTCATTTATTTCAATTTCGATAGATTCTCTAATTAGTCTTGGCCAGTAGTAGTTAGTTTTGCACAAAAACTTCAAGATTCTGCTACTGCTGACAGTTGCATTTGGGAGAATTTAATATTTCTCTGATGTTCTTTTAGTCTCGTGCTGATCATTCGTCCTGTTTGCCCAACATAACATTTACCAAACGTGTAGTTAATCCTGTACACACCTTCTGTTGATAGCTTCGGAAATACATCTTTGAGTACCAGATAAACAATTCTGTATTTTATGTACCGTGCCAAATCTCACTCGGATGGCGGTGGGTTTTAACGACGCATTTATATATTTGTACGCGATCTAACCCAAAAAACTATATTATGGATGGTATTGGTCACGAACGTGTACGTGTTAATCTGTTTGTGTGTTTAGTTTGTTGTCCTTCTCCTGCACCTCCGATTAGCACGGTTGGCTACGTACGGTGCGAACAAACGTACGTAAAAGTTTGCATTTTTTTCAAAGGAAGAATTTCGCTCTGTTTCGTAACGCGTCTGCTCCAGTTGGTGGCATCATTTTCTGTCGGCCGCAGGTTTAAGTGCGTTCACTTCCCCGACTCACCATTTAATAGTGTATTTAAGGTTGGGTTGGCTCACTGTGCTGTCATCGAGAAATATGGTTGAGCAGGAGCTGTACTTCTTCGAAATTTGCGCAGGAGATACCTACAAGGCACAATCCCATAAGAGTGCAGTGCAATTTATCACTCACGCGGTGCACAAAGGTTACGACAATAAATCATCTTTTTTTTTTTAAACAAAATTAAATACTCCCTGATGAATCACAGGTTACACAAAGCTGCAAAGGTATTGGCGCTTGTTATGCAAAGGGTTTCCAAAAAGCCGAAAGGTTTAAGCAAATCAAAAAACATTTTCTTCTCTTGACATTTATGCTGGCTCCATTCTAAACAATTATTTTTTTCCAAGTATATTCCCTTCAATTAGTGAATGCCGGTGGGAACAACTAGGCAACAACAATAAGGTGGAGGCACTGGACATGGTACTCACCGTGACGCTCACATTATTTGAATAATTACTCTTTCTCTTCTCTCTCACTGTAAAAAAACAAATTTGGAAATTGTTGGAAACATACACGTCCTTGTTCACACACATACAAGCAAATGAGTATGTTATCATGTTGATACGGCAAATAAACAGCTATTTAAAAAGTGAGGTTTCAATGAACATTACCATGCACAGCCCTTTTGCCAATCCAATGATGGATGAAGGCCTCCACATACCAAGTGGGCTTGGGTGGTTACTTTACCATATTTCACCAGACTGGTTAATACGGTTTGGTGAAGTATGCATAAACGTTGGAACGTACTATGGTATAACGATGTATTTTGCTGCACTGACCTGGAGCTGATAGGGTAGCCTCGCAATATCAATGCCTAATAACAAAAATATATACAATAATCTTATACATTTCACAAGTTTTTATTTCCCAGAGCAGTATATGAAGGCATTGGATAGTTTACTTCGAGTAAAGTAATTCAATACATCCTCCAGAGTCCAAATATAAGTATGACTTTGTGATAAGTCATATATATTTAATTATTTTATTGGTTCCCTTCAACGTGACTTTACCGAAAGAGCTAAGAATATAAGTCATCAGCAGTTACGCTATGGAAAGGTTTGCCCCTGCCACAACAACGTGGAAATGTTCAACACTGCCCCAAGGATCCTTCAAAACACGCGGACTTCAATTAGCGGGAAATGGGTACGCGATAACTGTCCCAACATAAAGGTGAGTTTAGATGTTAAAAAAATTTACCCTCTCATTTTTTAATCCGAGGAAATGTTGACGAGTGAAAACGCAGCCTTTCATTGGACGCAACCACCGATACCAAAAGCATGACTGTGGCCCTCCGAGCAGGGCCGCCTATATTGGGATATCTTTGTCAGGACAAATGAAAGGCTCAGTGAAAGCAAGCCCCCACACGAGTATATTGTGCCAGCAGCCAGCTGAAGCACAAGGTCACGTCAGGGCAAGACGAACAAAACAAATTCGTTCCGCTCCAGCGGCGGTGGGGAGGAAGGGGGGAGATCGAGAGAGCGGCAGAACTCGACAGTGACAGCCACGTTGCTTGTGGACATCACTCCACAGCACACGAAAACCATTTTTTTAACGTAATAATTATTAAATGTCTTGAATATTTATCGCTGACATTGACATAATCACACACAAGAGGCTGTCCTTTTCAGAGGTGCGGACAATGAAACGATTAATTCCTGATAATAGCATTAAAAAAATGTTGGCAAAAAAGGGATTACAATAAAATTGTACAACAACAGAAAGACAATGAACACCGCACGTGATAGTGTAACATTTTTCTGGGCACAATCCACCCGTAAACGTTTGTTGTGCTAACACGACAGACATCACACACACACACACAGCTTAAGGGCATTCACGTCACGAGAGTCACAAAAAAATCAGAAACTTAATTTGCACAGCAAATGACAAGGCACATATGTTAGGGTCGACTTAAAGATTGTTCACGGCAGTGTGAATCAAAATCAGAGGAATCCGATGAGCTGTGAAACTCTTTTGCACGGATGTCCAGTAGGGGCGGCTCAGCAAGTTACAACAAACGATCTCCAAAAAGCCCAACAGGAGTGCAAAATAGAAAAAAACGTTAACATAACATAAACAAATATTACGTAATATAAGTACAAATGCCATAAGTAAATAAATTCCTGACGATGTTTCAACACTAAATGCAAGCTAGGGCAAGGCGGCAAAACAACATTAACAGTCCCAAACCACACCAGTGTCAGACTACTTTGAGCAATAAGCAGAGGGGATGAAGGTTGGGGCTAGGCTAAGACATTCAAGTGAAGATCCAAGCACTTATGCAGGTATTTGTTGGACATGTGTGGTACATTTCAATGTAATGGGTTAATATGTAAACTGATGGCAATGTGGACTGAGTGAGACAAAAATTCGCCAGAATACCATTCTGGCGAATTGCCCGATGACGCTGGATGCAATTACCAGCGAAACGTCGTACTCAAACTGTAAATGTTGTGGATTCACTCTTCAAGACACTGGTGGGCTAAAGTAGTGAACTATTTGTCTTTTGTCAACGTGACACTTTTTTGCTGATTGGCCGTGTCGGGTGGTGGAGGGTTACGACACATTTATAAATAACGCGATCTAACCCAAAAACATTTATTATGAATAATATTGGCCGCGAAAGCCTACGTGTTAAACTGAGTGAGACAGTTTGCCTGTTCAATGGAGGTGTGTTCCTCTTGCGAGTAGCTTTCTAATTTTTTTTTTAACATTTTGCCTTTCAGTAGAGCAGCCAAGAAACATTGCATTTTGTCAATCCACTGCTGAATGAAGGCCTCCACGCTCTTCGTCAGTTGCTATTCTCGCGGTTACATTCTCGAGATAATAGTGATTTGCCTTATCCTGGTGTTGGTTTGCCACAGTGGATAATTTGAAGCTTTAAGTGGTATCGAGAGAATGTGGGAGTGTGGGCCCTACTAATCGGACTTGTCATCTGATGGGAAGGACAACGCTAACATTTTGTCATCACATTCAGCTGGGACTAGGGTATGAAGCATATGGCCATGTGCTCTGAATCGTAATGAACGCATGTATGCTGAACTTCTATCGCACTGTACGTAGCCAACCATGCTAATCGGAGGTGCGGGAGAAGAACAACGAACAAGACACAAAAAGCAGTTCTAAAGGAATGCATAGCTCCAGTGGCTTAACAATATCTGAAGGAAATTTAAGAACAGGTAAAAAGGCCAGCCTCTGCATAAATCTTGGGCGACGCACATTAACACGAGCAACTGATTAAATGGCTGCACTAGAACATCGCCACGTACGAGGCCTGCACTAGTGCTTTAGCCCGAGGTGTGGTGCGCCGATGAGGCCCGTTACAGGCGCCAGGCCTCACCTACAGACTTGAGCTCTGTCCAAAATGGGGAAATTAAGACTCATGGAAATCGCCCTGGTACTGGTAAACAGCAATGATCACCTGGCTAGTGGGATGATGGAGAATACTATGACTTTGTGCTTAAGGTCAACATCTAAAAGGTCACCCGGGGGCGCCAGGGGCACTGATGGCAGTCATGGTCTGCAAGGCTGGATAAGTTACGAAGCCTGGAATTGGCGAGCTGTAACTGTCAGTGATGTGTATGACCGATCCAGGAAGTCTGAGGCTGTGTTTACAGAATCAGTCAGGTGCTGCTGTGGTACATATTAAAATAATAAAAAAAATGTATGCTCCAAAGGATAACAGCTACAGGGAATTGAAAGCCCTTTTCTATTTTTCAAAAAATAATACAGCATAGGATTGCTTCGCTTTTCACGAACTCTGCTCTCCGCGATTTTGGCTATCCTCGAATCGCATCTGGAACTCTGCATCGAGAGAGAAAGCGATGAAAATGTGATTCGAGAAAGTGATGAGAAAAAGTGATGAGAGATGAAGTGATGCCAGGTAGAGTTATGAGATCAAGACATGAGAGAGATACACAATTTTCACGTATTATATATCTTATTTATGTATTTATCTGAGGTAATTCATTCCATAAGGCAATATCATTATCCGCGAAATTTGCGACCATCTCTGTAACGTATCCTTCACGAAGTTACAAGGATTCCTTGTATGGTGCCAGGCAATATGGTACAAGGAGTTGGGCCACTAACAGTGGCACTGGGTGGTAGTGCAATGCCACCTAGTGGCCAATACTTTGTCTGAATTGTTTTCCGATGAAAATGCATTGAATTTCACGAGGATTATTATCGGTCATGCCGAAATTGAAAATACCCGAAAAAAGGACGAGCACGCCCATTGTAACAACACCGTTTTAACAGGAATCAGGAATGTCATTAACTTTAATACGTAACTGGCTGAACTAGATATGTGCTAAGTGCTGTAACTAAACACAAACCAAAAAATCAGAACACTCCATATTTATCACGAATCGAATGTGGTTAGGGGCCACCCAGCTCGTATATCTTTGCCCACTCACCGTCAGGTTGTGATTTACTAAGGAATATGGTGTTGGCCCGAGGATGGTCCGATGGGTTTGGCTCCAAATCGTTATCTGAAATGCATATTCAAAACAAGCATATAGATGGCATGTGGGTGTTTAAAAACAGGTGCAGTACATTAAATGTGTATTAGCTCAGAGACTGGAAATATTACAGCAATATGGAGATGTGCTTTACAGTTTTGGCAAACTGACTAAACATGTGGTTGCTTTTAACATGTGACTAATTATTCTCAACAGTATGCTATTCTACAGAGTGCAGCGGTGATGAAGTGGTTTGCACATTGTGCTATGAACCCAGATACCTGAGTTTTAAGGGGCGCCATGGTGGCGAGATGTTAACTACCTTGCCGGGTATACAGGAGGTCGTGGGTTCGATCCCAACCCTGATGCCTATATATTCGGAGTTTGTATGTTCTCCACGTGGTCACGTGGAATATTTATCCGGGTACTGCGGTTTTCCCTCCACATTTAGAAACATGCGTTTAAGAGTATTTGGCTGCTATAAATGTCCACATGACAAGCCACTTCGGTAAGCTATCATTTGTGGCCAGGTCGCTTCTGAAAAAGAGCTATAAAGTTCAGTAAAATAAAAACTGTTTAGTATTATAGATTCACGACCACGGCTAACATCAGTGGCGAGTGATATCTGAGTGCCCTTTAATAATGCGCACTGACCAGTATGGTGAGGTTTGGTGGCTTACCCTGGGCCTCTTTATGTAGCAAGTTACTGCTAAACATTTCCACGAGCATGAGTCAATGTCAGTTGTGCAGGCCAGCATTTATTTGAATGAGGGCTTGTAACAATGTGCACATACATGCACATAAGCAGATACTGTACTCGCTTGCAAATGGACAGGGGCACACAGACCCATTCATGGAAACATGAAGTCAACAAACATGAATATGTTCAAAATGTTGCCTTGCATGAGGCGGCATACGATTAAAATGCACAGAGGCATGTACAAACAGTACATTAAGTGCACAACAACTTCTGCAAAGTGGTCGCTGAAAGTCCTTCCAGCAATATATGAAAAATTAGGGCACGGTCAAAATTTGTCATATTGTCTACAATTACCCGGTTTCACATGGCCATGCTGAACTTGACACTGGCTTATCTATGGAATAAAAATTAACATATACAGCCTTTTGTAAATCCACTGCTGGATGAAGGTCTCCCCATGTTGAATTTTACTAGTTGGTTGTGTGACCATATTGCACAATGCTGCTAGTGAAGGAAGGTCCTCAGGACCGGATCAATTATCAAGTTAAAATATTATTTTGTTTAACCAGGTGAGAACTCAAAAGACCAGAGTGACTTGGATCACCAAGATAACTAAAGCAAAACAAATATTCTCCATGGAAAATTAAAATATACAGCCTTTTGTAAATCCAGCAATGACATAAACAGAATGAAGTAAACAGAAATCAAAGCAAAAACACTGTCACCCTTGGCTGACAATACAACTCAGGTCGCAGGATTCATAATGTAGTGTGCTAACTATTGCACCAATGCTACCCCCTAATGAAATCAACATAATATAGAAACAGTCAAAAAATTCCAATAAAGGAAAACTGGGAATCCATCACAATCGATTTACATTATTGGGTCGATATTTATATACATCACCTGGTATAGACAAAAAATATCAGGAACGTATACAGTATTGTATTGCATAACTCATAGGCCCCCTTATATGGGGAATGAAAACATTTAAATATATTCCTAAAATCCATGCAAGTGGCAGAATGCCCAGAAGCTGCTTTGCACCAGCAGGTAGCGGTCTAGCAGAGGGATTGTGGTGCAATGGTGGGTTTGATTTTTGGCCTCTTCAATCTGATTTTTGTAAAAGGGTCATATTGGATGACCAAATTCATCATGCAAGCATTGAATTGTGACCCAATTAAAATCAGCTCACATCCTGATCGGCTGATCGGACCATCTCTGAAGAGCCGATTGATAGAATCCACTTACCTTAATTTAAACCCGAGGAGGGAGCCCTGAAATGCTCCGGACTGTTCCAGTGGTAGGGTCTTGAAATCCGTTCAAATAATAATAATATTTGGATTTAAAGCTTTCGTGACTGCAAGGATTCATCTTCTTTGGTTCTTTCGGTAAAGTCACGTAGAATGAGAATAAAATAATAAATTGATAAAATAAAATAACACAATAATATTCTATTTTATTCTCATTCTACGTGACTTTACCGAAAGAACCAAAGAAGAATAATAATATTTAGTCTCACAAAAGACTTATAGATACGTTTATGTAACAAGATGGTACATTATTCTTTGGTTCTTTCGGTAAAGTCACGTAGAAATAGAAAACAATAAATTACATAATAACATATTATGTAATTTAACATATTATGTAATTTATTATTTTCTATTTCTACGTGACTTTACCGAAAGAACCAAAGAATAATTCCTGCAGTCACGAAAGCACCAAAACAAGATGGTACATGTCTTGCCTAGTCAAGCAACAAACCTGTCACGTATAGGAAATACATTAGCATGGGTCTCTTGAACTCAGGGCCTGTATTTTAGGTTTAACAATGAGTAGTAGTATGTACGCAAGCATGCTGAACATATTAAAGTATGCCACCAGTGAGCCTCATTGGAAAGACAAAAGTTAAGGTTTTGCAACCTAGCTTGGGTATAAATATCAGTCTTTGATTTGATACTTACAAAATCTAACTTGGTATTGCAGTTTCTTTTTGACACTTAATAACCACTGTTTAATAAACATGGAATATTTTAATTACAAAAATAAAGTTGTCTTCAATTGTAAAACAAAAAATAGACTAATTTCCCCAAGGCAGGTACTGAACCTGTAAATTCCGCGTGCCAATTGAGGGAGCTGGTGTCCTACCCCTCAGCTACAGCTTCTTGCCTGAGACGCTGCTTTTAACACACTTAGTGAAACATGGAGTTGTCACTTTTCTCATAGAATTCACGGTAAATATTTGCCTTACAGTTCCGTGTAACATATTGTTATCTCGAATTCAAATCTGATCTTGATAAGCCCATTCATATTGAAATTTGCCACCAAGCTTCTTCTTCTGTATGACTGATGTAAATTCAGAGCAACAACTAGAATTTCACATTCAGGTGGTTAAGCCAGATAACGGCGTCAGGAGTAGTGGAGTGTATCGCTGTGATGTCTGCTTCGTATTTGTGGATCGGGAATTGCGGTCTCATATGTTGTACGGCCTGTTCTGGATGACCACAGTCGCATAATGGAGAGTTTTTAATTTTACATTTGTGCAACAAGTATCTCTCACCAAGCTGGTATGTAATGAATCTGCTTATGCCAGGCTACATGTGACTTCATCATTAGACCTCCTTTGCCAGTACCAAAATGTAATAATAGGGTTTTTCCCCTTTTTTCTGGCAACAAAACTGAAACCCTTTTACAAGGATTCATGTCTGCATAAAATTCAGAGCAACAACCACAATACCTGCAGTCAAAATGCAAACAAAAAACATACTATGATAATATATGCATGGTCCACACCAAGGGACGTCCCTTGGTGTGGACCAATCAAGGGACGTCCCTTGGTGTGGACCAATCAGTTTCAAGGACAATGCATATATTATCAAAGTATGTTTTCTGTTTGCATTTTGACTGCCGGTATTGTGGTTAATGCAGACATGAATCCTTGTAAAAAGGTTTCAGTTTTGTTGCCAAAAAAAGGGGAAAAAACCCTGTTATTACATTTTGGTACCGGCAAAGGTCTACTTATGTAGATGCTCACCCCGAGCCCTCATTACTTTGATAGTGCATTGTCTTTGAGCTGTACGCCTTTTGGCGTCATCTGGTCGAGCACCAATTGGGTCGAGGCTCAAAAGAAAGCCGTCCCTTGGTGTGGACCAATCAGTTTCAAGGACAATGCATATATTATCATAGTATGTTTTTTGTTTGCATTTTGACTGCAGGTATTGTGGTTAATACAGACATGAATCCTTGTAAAAAGGTGTAAGTTTTGTTGCCAGAAAAAAGGGGAAAAAACCCTATTATTACATGTCACTTCCCCATAATAATCAATATATTAATGTACAGACCTTGTCAACACACTGTTCGATGAAGCCCGTCCTATACTGTGGCAATTATAGGGTTTACCAAATTCATTTATAAATACTCTTTCTGAAGCTATATGCAGCCAAGAGGGTTCTTTACGTGAAAATCTTGCAGAAAACTAAAACAAATGAATAGCGGGTGGTCTCTGTAGTGTGGAGTCCTGGAGGTAATCTGATGTCTTTTAAGCCAATGTGTGAACCCAAGCACAGCAAATAAACCAGCTTTAAAAATTCCATTGGCTTTAAATAAAACTGCAGTTCTGACAACTGCAGTTATATTTTGATTTAAAGCTTTCGTGACTGCAGGGATTCATATTCTTGGTTCTTTCGGAAAAGTCACGTAGAAGGGAAACAATAAAACAATAAATAAATATATAAAACAGTTAAATTCTCACGACGTTTCGACTGCAACACAAGCAATCATCATCAGGTGTGAAAACCACAGCAAGAAAATTTTAAAAAAATAGCGTTTTTTTTACGTTAGCACCACGAAGAGCGATTTGGCAGTTATTCAGATAGACGAGTCCATCTATGTTCGGAAAAGAGGAGGGGGGAGACGAAAATAATGGATGCAGTCTGAAAGCCACCATAAGCGTGAACAATCAATTAAGACCCGAAATGTTTTATCAAATCCTTCCAATGATTGCTAAGCCAGAATCCATCTTCTCGGTTGAAATTGTCTCTGTATATGTGGATAGCCTCATGAACGAATCTCTCATGGTTGCCAGATGGCTTGCAAAGAACCTCTGTCTTGGAGAAGTCAATGTCATGTGAGCCTACTGAATTATAACAGTGATCTGCCACGGCCGAGGTGCTGGTCCTACCGTGTTTTAGGTCTGCTTTGTGTTCACGAATGCGGTTCGAGACATGTCTTTTGGTTTCTCCAATGTAACTACTACCATAGAGGCAACTTAGTTTGTAGATGCCAGGGTACTGTATGTCCAGAATCACATCTTTTACAGACGGAACCAGAT